AAAAATATTAAATGGAGAATGGCCCTATTCGATCACCTCCTTGAAAGAGACTCTAAGGTCAAAAAAAATTATTAAGAAATGTCCACAAGAACCTTTAAGATCCCAAAAAAATAGTCTATATGTGGAGAACGAGTGGCCAAAATTTTGATGTTTTATTTGAACGGGGTCATTTTCATTTAGATTTTATTTTATTTCTTAACTTAATTAGTAAATTATTTTATTGTTATTTTTAGTTTACTTAGGATGTTACTTTATTTGGTTTCCTAATTTATTTAGGATTCTAATTTCTTAGTTGCTTTAGGGTTTTTACTACCATTTAAAGACTTGTAAGCCTTAGGGCAAAATAGTTTTTTGATGGATTAATAATATTGAGAGTTTTCTCTTTTCTTCTCAATTATTCTGATATTCATAGGAATCAATAAGTTTTTAAAGCTTTTAAAATTGGTATTCTCCGTGAATCAACAGGCCAATAGTAGGAATTTGAAATCTTGGTGGACTTTTTTTCCCCTTTCATTAATATTATTCTTTTGTTTTTACCCGCTTCCTTGCATCAGTTGATAAAAGCGCTTGCGATCTTTCCTACACCATGTCACTTGGGAAAAATCTTGGTGGTCGGAACACATCTGTTAACAACATGACAATATATGGTGAGGTAACTCGATTAGAATAAGCGGTTAGTGCGTTGACCATTCAGGTCCACAAATTCATGGATGTTTATCAATGTGCCAACCATATCCCGTCTCATTTTGTGAGCAATAAGTTACCTAGTGTCAAACAGGTTTCCCCAATCGTTTCCTTATTTGGGGAAAAATCGATCCTGCTTAGTTTCTTATAGAGTATCAGAAATCAACGATACACGTGGATGGAAGACCGAGAAGAGGTCATTACAACAATAAAGTTGTTGCTGCATTGATCCTAGAAGAGATTCAAATTTTTGATAAGTAACCGAATAAGGTATTTTTTTGATGCCTATTCATCTTCTCCACAATCAGAAATTGATTGGGATTTACCCCCAATTTTAGATAACTATCCAGAGGATGACTTATGTTGTACTTTATTATATAGATACGAAGTATATCTTTCACAAATTATGGAAGGACTAATTCGCTCATTCACTGTCCCAAAAGTTTATTTTTTTTTTTTATTTTCTTGTTAGAGAGAAACGGTAAGCAATACATCCCATGAGTTTGATTCTAGGAAATGTTATAGTTTGTGGACATGTTTGTCACTGATTATTGGAGTCAAAGCTGTGCAATTAAATATTATGGCATCTTTTATCATAATTGGTCCCCTAATTTACAACGTGGCATATGTATCCTTCTTCGATCAACAAAATATTTGAAAAATAATGTTATTAAGACTTAATTTAAAATTTTAATGTATTATCATTATTAAAATAATAGTTAATTCCAACATTAAATGCATTGGAACAGTGACAATACATTAGTCTTCGAATTAAGTATAAAATATTATCATTGATATTAAAGCTGATAAGAGCATTTGATGTGGCCAAAAGCGGGAGAATTGGGTTAATGTCTCGCTCTATGTTTTCTTCAACCAATGCTTGCTACCAAGTTTTCGACACCAATTTTAAAAATAAAAAAAAGAAGGGTTAATTATAAAAGGTCCCTTTTAATTTTGGATAGTTTGCAACTCACTCTTCCAAGTTTTAATTTCAACAAATAGCCCCCTTTAAGTTTAAATATTTTGTAATCAACTCTAATAATTATTTTTAGATTATAAAAATTGAAAATAGTTAGACATTTCAAATTACACATGTAAATATTCAACCAAAAGAATATCAATAATTATATTTGGATCTAATTTGCTCATATATTTATTGACTTAATTTGTTGTAACTATTAAATTAACATAAAATTTTAATTTTTGATGAGCCGTATGGTCAATCTAAAGATTATAATGAATTATGTCGATCAATAAATTAAATTTAAATAACATGACTCAATAGATAAAGGGAATCACACAACTTTTCATTAGGTGGCTATTATATCAAATGCATAGTAGTTATTAAATTATGTAGGATACATTTTCTAACTTGTGATTTTTTTTTTTAATTTGACCGTGATGTCACATAACAGTCATAACATAACACATTATAATAGTAATGCACACTATTCAAATAAAACTCAAAAAATTGTAATTCAAATATATATCTTTTTTTGGATGAACGAGTCTCATCGAGTTTTTTAGTGGAATTCAGTCATCTAACATTTATGATATATTTTTAAGTTACAATATTTGGATTCTATTTATGTTGTGTAGCATTTTTATATTATAATATTTGCTTCATATTTTAGGACGTGTTGAACGTGAAATTCAGTAGGGCAGGTCATATCTTTCATGGCATACTTGAGTTGGTCTTGCACTTCTCTCACCAGCTTCACTCCTTCCTGCAACAGTGCTGCTCCTCTGGCAGCTTTTTGGGTAATGTTCTCGAACTCAAGATTTGAATCATCGTGACCTTCGAGAATCTTGAATAGATATGCGGAATCAGATATCTCTAGACCAGCCTCAAACGTTGAATCCATTCTTGTCAGTTGGCTCAGGCGATTGCAAAGAATAGACCTCAAATCCCGGAGAGGTCCACTTGTTGTGTGACGTTCCAACAATCTGCTACTCCGACCAATGACCAAGTCCCTAAAATCGTGATCGGTTATATCATCTGTAGAAAAATTAAGACGAAAAAGTTAACACAAGTCAAAAAGTGTAAACTGACGGAGAAAACTAAAACCAAACTATGTTTATGGACCGAAAAAGGTTTGTCTAAAACTAAATTAATAGATAAACTTAAATATCTATTCAAATATTTTTAAAAAAATTCTTATTATTCCAAAGTTTTATTTTTGTTTAATTTTTTCTATCAAAATATTTTATAAAATATTAAAACTTGTTTCTTACAAAATTTATTAATATTAACCAAAAGCAAAGACAAGAATACCAACTTCTTTAAATGGTAGATTCGTGAGTTCTTTTACATAGAGAAGAAAAAAACGATAAAAAGAGAAAATAAAAACAGAGAGTAAAAAGTTACTCTCAAACAATTGAGGTAAGTATAAATGGTGTGATCAACGACAATGACAATGACAACGACATCGACAACGACTTTGAAGAGAAAGGTAAGAGAGATAATAACTTTTTCGGTGGTTGTAGTCTTTTGGATTTATATAAGATAAAAGGTTGTGGTTGAAAATGTGATATAGGATTTAATTCAATTTGGGTGCAAAATAATTTTTGTTTTTATTTAATATAAATTTGGATCTAAAGTTAGAAAAAAAATTATGTCATTTTAACTCAAATTTAAATTTAAATTCAAATTTATGTCAGAGTTGGAAATGATCCAAAAAATAAAAAAAAACTAACAGAACAGAGGCTAGCTAATATAGCTTCTGCCAGCAAAGACCTGGCGGCGAACTTGTGAAGGGGAAAAGAACAGCAGATGGGGGGGGACTCGAATTGATCCCAGCAGGGACTTCCCCATCACTTATTCTCTGCCTTTTGTTGTTGTCGTTGTTGTTGACGGCGTTGGAAAAATCATTGCGGAAACCATCTCTCCCTCTCTTGAGTGGATTGTTTGCGGAAAAATCATTGCGGAAACCATCTCTCCCTCTCTTGAGTGGATTGTTTGCGGAAAAATCATTGCGGAAACCAGCAGGTTCAGATGGGATCGTTGAATATTCGGGGCCACTTGTTGTCTGCCTTTTGTTGGACGAATTGATCCCAGCAGTTTCAGATGGGTTCGTTGAATATTCGCTATCACTTGTTTTCTGCTTTTTGTTGGAAAAATCATTGCGGAACTCACCATCATCTCCCTTGAGTGGATCGTTCGCCGGACAGTTGTCGTTGATCTGAAAGGTGTAGGTGAAGTATAGGCTAAAGAGAAGGAAGCACAACATAAAAATGCCTCTCCTTAACCTCATGGTGATTGGTATTTTGTATCAAGGGGAATCGAATAGGTCTGGCCCTATTTATGCAAGTATAATATGGTAGCTTTTTAGGCTTTGTGTTTGTGATCCAAAGTTTAGGGATTTATATATAAAGAACCACAAAAAGCAGCTATAGTTATTACATGTTGCTCCAAAATCTATTGTTATCGATAAAAGAGTTTAATTGAGCAATTGTTAGTGACTAGTTCAATTGTCTTATTTCAAAACTTTTTTAGATGAAATTTAAAATAGTAATCACACAAAATCACGAATTAATAAAAGAGAATCTCTTTATTTATCCAATCGAAAGGTTTTCAGTTATAAAAAAATTGAATAAATAGCATTGATTATAACAATAATTACTTCTTAAAAACTAACTTAACACTACTCATCAAAATGTCTTAATCATGGGTCTTTCAGGGGTCTGAATGAGTCATTCAACTTCCTTATTTTCTACTTTTATAACTACTATATTCAATTATTTGATTTATAATTTTCAGACAGTTATTCCCCCTTCAAATAAAGGTGTGTCTAACCATCTACTCTTTTTTCTCAGATTTTACCATGTAACTTATTCTTTAATACACCCAATTTGTCAGGCGTTCGTGCATCGAACATTTTCATAATTTTACATCTTTGGTCCAAATCATATCTTATCCTTTTTGTTAACCTTTTGTCAAATATGTGGGTGTCATTAACTCTTTCCAACAAAATCTGTTGATCGATCCATTTTTCGTTATTTTGTATACATATTTGCTAAATAATTTAATAACCACATTATTACTCATTCTTTCCACATAATCATGTCATGAGAAAAGTTGACAACACTTTGTTGATTAAAAGTCAGTTAAGATCTGATAGTAGTTCACAAAATTGAAAAGCGAAAGACTCACGAGAATCAATGTTTTCACGTCTATATCTATATCCATTTCTATATTTTACTAATAAAAGGCATATTGAGAAAAACTTTTAATTACCTATTTTAACCCTAATCACTTACATATGGCCTATTATATCCCATTTTCTCTTTCAAGCATCATCTTTTCATATTCCATATTTATTCACAGTATATGGGTATTTTAATGGTATTCCGTTTAACAACTTTCCCTCTTCAATGAAGGTATAACTGCATTTTTTTGTGGGTTCTTAAGAATCTCTCAGTTTAACAACTTCTCTTCTACCATCATTCATGGAGAATAATTGTGGTAGTTTGGGGTTATTTAGCAGTCTCTCCATTTAATAATGGCTCTAGAATTTTGGAGGAGTATTAATAGACTGAGTACGGAAGTCATGGGTCTCACTTGAAAAACCTTCACCACATACACTTTCCCACGCCGAACTCTCAGTTGATTCCAAGTTCAATTTTAGAGCCCATAAAGAATCAACTAGAGACACCCATTTGACATATTCCATAAAGCATTGGAAGTTAAATTGTTGGAAGGGTTGGAAAAGGGTAAGCTACGGGTGGAGTTTGGCGAGAGCTGTTCGATTGAGGTCGGGGTTATAAGTATGGCTTTTCAAGGAGGATAGTTTGAGATGGTTTGCAGAATGTACGTACTTTTGGTAGACATATATATATCCCATTCACATTAATATAAAAAGATGCTGAACCTTTTTTTTACTGTTTAAAGTGTAAGAGTTGCTAAATTTGTTCAAAAAACTCTTGTTTTGCAGTTAATTGTTAAGAACAAGATTATGCTTGTTGTTACCCTTATATTGTACCCAATGAATTCGTTCTCTTAAGTGTTAATTTCTGTAATGTATTCCTTCTAACTTCATTTTTGCACTTAATTTTACGGATATTAACCACTCGAGCACGGTGATTGCTACATCCACTGCATGAGCTTTAAGCTAACAACCTTTGTAATCTCTATTTTGTAATATAAAACCATTGCAAGCAGTATGCCTGAGGCTGTACCACTAATTATTTTGATGGGTTTCCATTTGAGGACCGTCGGATAGTCAATATGATGGCCTAATTATCCAATACTAAAGGAGATCTCGCTCCGATTATTTATATGTGCTTGGCAGACAATCATACTAATTTTAAGCATTGGTTCCTTACATATTTTGATGTGTCCTTTTAATCATGGGTTAGGAGCAAGAAGACATTATGCTTCTACATTTTGGACCTCATTGTAGAAACTTCGGACCTCTGGGACTATCTTGTTTATCGATTGGGGTTGTTTCGAGCCTTAATTTTTCTTGAAATGGTTTATTTTATCGACACAAAATAGAATAAAAATGTATGTTGACACTATTTTTTTATGATAATGTAGTTTGATGGAAAACAAGCTTATGTGTTTTGTGTCCTCAACCCAGTGAATTCCGAGTGATCTGCACCTTTTCAAATATATCCAATATTTTTACATCTATGCATCATTATTTATTCGTATTAATTTTTTGCGTCATGATAATCATATGATTATAATTATTATATTAATTAAATAATTTATTTGTCTTTTTCTGGGACATTTGTGACCCAACTGTGTCATTTACTATATTATTCTACTCATGAAGTAGAACACGAACTCACGAAAATTTATTTAAAATAATGAGTGGATCAACAATCAATAAAGTTATTAAAAAATGTTATTTCATTTTCAAAAAAAACATAAATATCGATACGATACTAATTTCGGTCCGGTAGTGTTACTCCATAACAAAGGATAACATGCAACCTATACGAATAAATAGTTTTTTTTTTCGCCTGTAATTCGAATAGGTTATCAAGAAATGTCCATGTCGTATTGAATGAAAGAGCAATCAAGGCACCTATTTTTTTTCTCTCTATTTTCTTTCCACTCTACCAATCAATCCATAACATATGTCCATAACTACTTTTAAAATCGGCAAAGAACTACGTTGTCAAATTAGATGTTATATCAAAAATTATAATTTTATTTTTTTTAAATTTAATTTATAATTCAAAGAATCATGATCGATTATAAAAAAATAAATTATAATTGCTCGTGTATTCCTCCAATAATATTATTTTAGGTAGCACAATAGATTCTTGAAAATCAATGCCTACCTCGTATATTAAATAATACCCACAAATTATGAGATCATATTTCAAACGTAAGCATACATCATAGATTGATTAAGCACCACACAAATGAGGGTAGTTCTATGATACTGAAGTACAAAAAGATAATATTTTTATAATCAATTATAAGTTTCTATTATTTTTATAACAAATATGAATTATATGTATAATTAAATTAAATAATAAATTAGGTGTTGAATAATGAATTCAGATTTTAATTATTATTAAATTTAATTATTGATTTATTTTATAAATTTTTGAGTACCTAATTTTTTATTTATTTAAATATTTCTTCAATCTTTTTAGATATTTGTACATCTAAGTATAGTACCGTCCACGTCCACAACAACTTCAGCTAAAATCAAAATACATATAGCATTAAAGATGATCCATCAATTTAGTTACTCATATTGAGGTAATGTCTCAAAAGTCTGCATTTAATAATTGTAGATACTACTATTACATAAATTAGATGAATATATATATATATATATATATATATATATATGCGAGTATAATTGACTTTATTATAATAATTAGAGATAAAATAAAAAATAAAAAAAAATCGTAAATACTAAAATTTATAAGTACTATAAATAATTTTATTTTTAAAAATTATAATTTTTATAATTAATCATAATATTTTAAAATTAATCATATTTTTACAATTATAACTTATATCACACATGTTATAATTCTATCTTAAAAATTTATAAATTTCAATATGTAAACTTGGTCCACAAATGTTCAACACGTGAGAGGGTTGGGTCAACAATGGATAGGGTACGTAATTTTTTTTTAAAGATAACTGATAAAAGATTTTGTTACGTAAGAAAGTAATGGTTACGATCAATACATAAAAGAGTCTTAAGACCTCATTTCGTGACTGCAACCTGGCCATTATAAAATGTCCATAACAACCTCAGCAAAAATCAACGTCCACGTCGCATTGAAGAAGGCCCATCAATTCACTACTACCCAATGGGAGGGTGAACAATATTACCACCTGAAGGTACAGAAAAGTCCACAAAAGAGGTCTACATTTTTCTTCATGCATAATAAGTCCAAAACTGGTCCACCACAATCACCGACAGTTCACAGCTGGAAGATTTGTTCTCTCTTATAATTAAAATTTGACAGTTACACAAACATATAAACTAATGTTAAAGAATTTTCAATAAATTTGTGTAATTAGCGAATTTTAATTAGATGTCTGAAAATAATTATTTACAGATATGCCTCATTATTCTTATCTCCAAAATGAATTTGTTGAACATTTATGGGATTGACATTGGCCTCATTATTGGTTGGGACATAAGGTTAATAAGAAATTTCAATTTAAGTTTTAAATCAAAGAATCATGATCGATTATAAAAAGAAAAATTATAATTGACCGTGTATTCCTCCAATAATATTATTTTAGATAGCACAATAGATTCTTTAAAATTAAACTACACCTCGTATATTAAATAATACCCACAAATCGCGACATCTAATTTCAAACCTAAGCAAACATCATAGATTGATTAAGCACCACACAAATGAGGGTAGTTCTATGATACTGAGTTACAAAAAGATAATTTTTTTTATAATGAGTTATAAATTTCTATTATTTTTATAACAAATATGAATTATAAGTATAACTAAATTAAATAATAAATAAGGTGTTGAATAATTAATTCAGATTTTAATTATTATTAAATTTAATTATTTATTTATTGAGGTATCTCTTCAATCTTTTAAGACATTCACACATTTAATTATGTTATATAATTATTAAGTTTTATTTTATTAAATAGATTAATTGGATCATTTATAATATTATTATATACCAAAAAAATAAAATATATCACATATTAGACCATAGAATTCAACATAATAACTACATGTGTATAATAATTTAACTGTGAAATTTAACTTAGTAACTATATGTGTATACTAATTTAACATATATAGAAATAGATAATTACATGTAACTATACTAATAATAAATGAGTTCAAAAAAAAATTGAAAGTCAAATAAATATAAATTAAATGAAAGTATATATTTAATTGATTTTATTATAATAATTAGAGATAAAATAAGAAATCCAAAAAAATTCTCAAATGCTGACATTTATAAAAAGTTTATTTTTTATAATTAATTATAATATTTTAAGATTAATCATACTTTTACAATTATAACTTATATCAGAACAGGTTATAATTCCACTTTAAAAATTTATAAATTTCGGTAGGTAAATTTGGTCCACAAATGTGCAACACGTGAGAGGGTTGGTCAACAATGGATAGCGTACGTCATTAAGAAATGTCTACAACAACCTCATCAGCTAAACTCAACGTCCACATCGCATTGAAGAAGACCCACCAACTACTACACTTGCTGAAAAGTTTGCCCTTTTTTCTTTTTTCGTTTTTTAAGTGAAATCACGCCATCTTAATTGACATTATCAATTATTCACAATAATTATAGGTTAAAGACTCGTGACATTTCTTATAAACAACTCAATAATACCCCTGATTGAATTGAGATCAATTTTAATATATTTATTCTATATCAAAGTTAAATTAATTATATACAAATGAACAATCGGATGAAGTTGTTTACAATTGCTTAAAGGTTGGTAGGGTTTTTGTAAGAGAAGTTGGGTCCAGATGGACAAATCAACTACATTTAACAACTATTTTCTTGAATGATTGTTGGATCTATTACTATTATAAAGGAATGGACAAATCAACTACATTTAACAACTATTTTCTTGAATGATTGTTGGATCTATTATTATTATAAAGGGAGACGGAGGAATTTGTCGCATACAACTTATTATATTACTTAATTAATTACTGATAACTCTCTATGAAATATCTCTTCTTAATTCTTCTAATCTCACTCTCTTACAATTGTACATATAAAGTGATCATCTACAAAACACATTAACAATTATAAAAAAGAAATATTTCTCAATCATATGTAATTGCAATTAGTTCTCTTACTTTCGGCGAAAACTGCAATTAGTCCATTGCATATCCTTTGATCCTTAATACTCATGATCTTATTTTTCAATTATTTTAGCATTTCCCCTTCCCTTCATCAGGCACAGCACTTATAAACTATCACAGATTCTGCTGTCACACCCCAAAGCTTGGCGCATTGCTAGAATAGCTTCTTCCTCACTAGCCAAGACTTAGGGATGTAAATGGCTCATGATATATTGTGTCATCCATTTAAATTATTTAAATTGTATTGTAACAAAATCTCTTCAATTCAACTTCGATCCGTTTATAATTGTACATAAACAGATTTATGTAAAAACATCATGTATTGTACAAATGGTATTTGGTTAGGTTCGAATCAATTTATTTTTTTACGTGTCTAACAAGTTCACCCTTTAACAACGTGAATGAAACCCATTTTGTTAACTCCGTTGACACTAAACCCAAACTCAAACCCACTAACTAGGCCTAGTGAAGGCCATCGGAATTATTTTTCTATATTTTCTACTATAATGTTCATGAAACATCAAACTCAAAGTCAATATGGATTTTTTGAGAAATCTCCTCTAAAAAAGATTCTGAAAATATGTTCATTATCTAACAGTGAAAATGAGTGTTATAACTTTGTATACATTTCTATGATGAGGATGATCAACCATTAATGAAAGTAGTTTACGAGAATTAAGGGGATGATCTTTCTTTCAAAATTTAATCTTCAAAGAGAGCATTCACCCATTCCTCCCTCCCCCCCCCCAACAAAAAAAATAATAATAAGACAGATATTTAAGAAAATATTTAAAATTCAAAAAATCCTCTCCACCAATTTCATCATCTCGGAAAAAGAGGGTTTTGTAGAAACCTGTTCATATTCTACAACGACAAAGGTGCAGTTTAAAGAATACAGTATAGCATCACAATATAACAACATGCTAGACACTATTTTATTTGACATGCTGTGACAAATAATATGCATGTACATTGTTTGATTGCTACACAAATTAAATGTTATGCTTGACATAATGTGGCATCACAATGTGATATAAAACTAATGAGTTGGTTGTACCCAACACTACTTGTCACACTGTAACAAATACTATGTCACAATGTAACACACAATGTAACAAATCCGTTGAGACGTCTATGAAATAATACTCGTAACAATATCTGAATAGGATTTCCTAAATGGAATGATGAAATTCACAGTGATAATAGATGATGATATTGTTGACTAATGAAAAAAATCAACAAAGGAGTTTTCGCTAGTATTTTGCCACAAATAAGTAGTTTATATGGTACCTATCTGCAATTTTTCGATAAAAAATTACTACAACACTTGCCTGTTGGACACATTGTTGGTTTTTTAAGGTTTTTTTTTTTGGACAACTTCACAAGTGGCATAAATTAATTGAGAATGTACACTATTTTATGCTACACTACATGGTACTGTCCTATTGTGCTTGGTGAGCACTAAATATTTTCTCGTTTGTACATCACTTGCTTATGCTGTTTACACTTCAAAATGGCATTCTTTTAAGAAAATTGTTCTTCTAAAAAAAAACTATTATAGATTTTTATCTATGGCAAAAAGTAATGTTAAATTATTAGCATTTAGTTCTTAATAAATTGTAAATTGTTTCCACTACGAAAAAAATCTAGCTTTCCCAATACCTTTTGAGAAATAAAAATGAACCATCTTCGTACCAAACATGTAAATGAAGTTCTTAATGCGAATTATGAAAAACTAAAATAACTTCAAAGGCTTGTTCTCTTTGTTGGAATCGCTCCAATATTAAAATAATTAAATAGAGTAAAGAGATTTAACATTCAACATAGAAAATAATTTTCATATTACTTGATTACAATCACAATTTGGACTCTTCAGGCACTCCACTCAATTTTGCTTGTCTCTAATACTAGCTTACATTCCCTATTTATATGGGCCACAAACATAGCTCCTAAGGAACTACTACCACTTAACTCTTGTAAGTTGTAACCCCCTAGCAGGCACCATTTCCTCCACACAAGGACAAATTACTCACCCACTATATGATATATTAAAGACCATTAGCCTGCCAACACTCCTTAATAATGTAATAACTCTAACCCACTTTGACACACCAAGATGAAACTGAACGACAAGACTAAGCACGCATTGTGTATATAGTCTGTAAGACAGTGAGGACGAGAAGCACAACGGCAGCAAAAGCTGAGGCAGCTCTCCATGGATTCGAGAAATAATCACTGATTAATTCGTGCAGGTAACGGCGGCACTTAAACTGCAACAGTGCTTTAATTCTGTGATAATGCCACCAGGACTTGGTATATGCATTCACCTCCTCGCATAACTCTGTGAAATAGAATTCTTTTAAAACAACTCCATTGTACATACGGCTGAAAAAAGTTGAAGCGTCTTCAGCCTTCCCCAGAATGTTTGTTAGGATCCCTTTGCTTTGAAGAAATTTGATGTCATTGGACGACTTGATGAGTCCACTCATGAGAAAGACATATGAGGAAATGTGGTGTGTGGTGCGAAAGCTGCACTGCTCAAAAGCAATTAGGTTCCTCAAGAGTAAATCCAGTGTTTCATCAATGCTAAAAGGCGGGATCACCACTACTCCTTTACTGGTTGTTATGTCTAACAAACGACCTTGTGTACCGTTTTTAAACTTAATTCCAGCTTCTGAAAGTTCTGTCGCACAATACCTAAATCCGCAAGCTTTCTTGTCTTCAGAGCATTTTATGGGAGGATTCTGAGGAAGGTAAAATTTATGCAACATGCCCAGAAAATGCCTGTTGTATTGGCCGAGTTCCTTGGAAATCGATGGATCCCTGTCTGTATTGAGCACTGGCTGAAAGAAAAGCATAGCATGCTCTGGTAGCGAACAAGAACATGCTGATGTTAGTGGATCAGTCGGTGAACACGACAACCTTACCGTATCAAACAACTTCTGAAGAACTTCAAATGGAATTTGGTTCTCAAGTAGAGCCAGATCACGTCGAATGGCTGGGACCATCCAAGCATTGCTCGTAATGGGATCGTCCTCGTCCTTGAATTTCTTATCTGTGCACCTCAGAAGAAGCTCAAGAATGAAGCAACCATCAACTAGCAGTATTTCCAGGAATGATGCTTCAGCCTCTTTGTTGCAGTTGGTATGTTGATCAGCATAGTATTTGCCAGTATTTTCTTTTGATTCGGAGATGGCACACTCATCCGAGTTTTTTCTCGGGTTCAACGCTTGATGAAGGAGGCTTAGCATACACCGCCAGTTCTTCTGTTCCATTGCTAGCAGGTCACTCCGGCTATGATAAGAAGGTCCGATATTCTCAGCATAGTATCTGCGAGCAACTTGTTCAAAATCTTGGAGAGCGTCGGCACACTTTTTCAATGTCCGTATTCCATCAGGTGTACGTTGAAGGAAGCTTAGCATATACAGCCACTTGTGCTCTTCCATAGCGTGTAGGTCACTCCTGCCATGGTGGAAAGGTCCGATGGAAACCGTGGATGGGGTATACACGTGTTCCTCGAGTTGTCTAAGCTTTGTGGGAACCTTATAAATACTTGAGTAGACATTTGGATTTTCTTTAATTGCACCAAGTCTTTTTTCAACCGATTCTATCCAGATCTTATGTTCAGGGAGGCCGCTGGTTGACATTTTCTCTCACCTGTACAATTAATTTAAAAGTGATATTAATCATTATGCTCATTAGTAATGATCACCAAAAAAACCAAATGTTGTTTCTGATCATGACCAACTCATACATGGTTAGTATAAGACACAAATAATAAGGTACCTGCACGTACTGCATATGTTTTATTGAAATTAATCTTTCATATTACAAGAATATCATGAAAGCAAAACAAACATAATTACAAATCCATCTATAGATTTTTAGAAATTACTAGTCAGTGCAAAGAAAACCTTAACACATGCTAAGAGAATTTTCTCAGAAAGTCCCTATTGATAATTAAGAACAGAAACTAATACCATAACCTCAAAAAACGTAAGCATATTACAACCCTTTTTTCTTTTAACACAAAACATATTCTTGTTCACTGGAATTTGCATGTCCCCACATATATATATACAAATTGCACCTAGTGTTTGGTCAAACATTATACCAAAACCATGCTATGATCTTGCATCAAATAATCAACATGACAAAACTTCAACCCAGAGTCACTCAACACAAGAGCTTAAAACTAACATCAACAAGAGACAAGAATAAATCTACATCACCTTTGATTGATGATCGATGAGAAAATCTGAGGGACTAGGGGGTATATATAGTAGTTAAGCCTTAGCCAGTGGCAAGATATCCACATGCATGCGAAGGAAATGTGTGAAAAGGGACATCAACCAATATTTCTAGCTGAAGGCACAGAAAAGTCCACAAAAGAGATGTACATTTTTTTTCATGCACAATAAGTCCAAAACTGGTCCCCACAATCTCATGATTTGAGGTAAATGTAACATATTCCACGTGAGCAATGTTATATGAATTTAAAAAATTAAATTAAATTTAATAATTATAATTATTAATTTTATTAGGACCTATTATCTATTCAATAATTGTGATTATCAAATTTATTTTTTAAGTTCATGTAGCACTACTCATTTCACATATAGTTCACAACCGAAAGATTTGTTCTCTAAGAGAATTAATTCTTCACAGGCAGCCCGTAAATAATTTGTTCTTTATAATTGATCGTGTATTCCTCCAATAATACTATTATTTTCGGTAGCACAATAGATTATTTACAATCATAGCCCACCTCGTATAATAAATAATACCCAAAAATTGTGAGGTCATATTTCAAACGTAAGCAAACATCATAGATCGATTAAGCACCAAATAAATGAGGGTAGTACAAAAAGATAATATTTTTGTGATCCATCATAAATTTCTTTTAATAGGTTATAATTTTATATTTATTAAGTACCAATAATTCACGATGTGCAACACGTGAGAGGGTTGGGTCAGCAATGGATAGGGTACGTCATTAAGAAATGTCCACAACAACCTCAGCTAAAATCAACGTCCACGTCGCATTGAAGAAGACCCATCAACTACTACACGTGCTGAAAAGTTTCCCCTTTTTCTTTTTTTAGTGAAATCACACCATATTAATTGACATTATCAGCGGTGCCCGTTAAGTTATTATTAAATGGATTGAAAGTATGCGTTGCCATGTCACTTATATGATGGGGAGGGTGAACAATCTTGCAGCCCATGTGAAAGGATTGGGTCCACGGTCGACAAGGTCCCTAAGAAATGATGTCCACAACAGCATTTAAAATCAAAGTCCCCGTCGTATTGAAGACTCGTGACTTCCCTCATAAACAATTCACCCCCAATGGGATTGAGATCAATTTTAATATATGTATTTTTTTTATCATTTTTGATAAAAATAAAATTAATTATATATAAATGAGCTCTTATAACTACCATGTGAGTAACTTACCAAACAAAAATTAATAAAAAAATATCAAAGATTACATAAGTCTCACAAGGCAATTGGATAACTCTCTCTCTCTCTTTCTCTCTCTCCCTCTCTGTGGACTAAGATAAATAGATTCCATACTTTTGGAAAAAAGAACTTTTATCTTACCTACATATGTTCACGAAACATCAAACTCAAAATCAATCTAGCAAAAATCAAAATCAATCTATCACAACACCCAATAAAAAATGAATTTTTTGAAGGCCAGTATACCGTAAGACACTTATTTGTGAAAAAATCTATTCTAAAAAATATTTTGAAAAAATGTCCATCTAATAGTGAAAAAGAGTGTCATAACCTTGTATACACTCTTATGTCATGAGGATGATCCGCCATTAACAAAAGCATTTTATGAGAATTAAGGGGATGATATTCCTTTCAAAATTTAATCTTCAAAGAGAGCATTTATCCACCCCCAAAAAAAAAAAATTAAATAAGACGGATATTTAGGAAAATATTTAAAATTCAAAAAATCTTCTCCACCAATTTCATCATCTTGGAACAGAGGGTTTTGTAGAAACCTATTTATATTCTACAACGGTAAAAGTACGGTTTCAAGAATATATTGTAGCATCGCTATGTAACAACATGTTAGACACTATTCTATTTTGTCACACTGTGACAAATAATGTGCATGTACATTAATTGATAGCTACACAAATTAAATGCTATACTTGACACCATGGTCGGCTCAACAATGGAATGGAAAAAGCATGGGTTTTAGGCCTACACATAAAAAAAAAAACCCCAAATTTTAAAGTTTAATAATTTTGTATAGATCAAAAATTAAAACTCATTATAATTTAGTTTAACAAAAAAACTGTTAAAAGATTATATCAAAATAAAATTTAGAATTTAGGTTTAAAAGTGCAATCCACCTCACAAATGTACATTACACATACATATTTATTAAAGGACAAAAAAAGGTTAACACTTTAAGAAAAAATTATAATAAGAATCTCTATTCCACAAATTAAAATAAATCAAACACTTTTTCTATTTATTTCAAACTTGATTTTGTTTTTATTTCAATACAAAAACACCAACTAATTAAATTGTTCATTCTAATAAAGGATCCACAATATAAATTAATTAATATAAAAAATAATTCGACAAAGTTATTATCAGAGAAAGTAAAACACAACAAAACAGTAGGTGAGCGTTACACATATAAATAAGTTATGGATCATAAAAAATTAAAAAATAATTAATAACAAGATAACAAAAAATTATGAATATATACTGATAGTCGATAATCTAATACCACAATTTTCATGAAGAATATACAAAACAAATAAGGAGAACATAACAATAGTAATGAAATAATATATGATGTTCCGAAAAGTGCGATTCAAGCAAGAGACAAGAGAGACAAAATAGATGTGCGGATCTGTTTGTTAAAAAATATGTATTTATAGCCACGATAATCTATGTATATTTTCAATTCCTATGGATTTTACCATTGAACAATTGCACTCATATAGTATGATTATGAAATAACACATCTAATGTTTATTATATATTAAATGCCAAAATTATTAAAAATAACAATTATGCGACACCAAGTTATAACATTGAACATCTTTCCTATGACAATATCTCTTGTAACGGTCCATGCATTATTTTTGACAAATTTTAAAAATACATAAAATATGGATTAACATATTTCCTTTATTCCTTACGCGTTATCTATTAATTAATTTGTCTCACTTAATCAGTTCCATAGATGAAGACTCGATAATGAGGCGCAAACATAGACTACAATTGTTAAGAGATGTACAAATACTTCGATCATTTGAATGGGAGGAGACATAGCAGGCCTAACCATTAAAATAGTCTCCTAGTGCCCTAATTTAATTTCCAATCATTAGGTCAATTTCACGTTTTGATGCCCTTTTGAATAGACCAAGTTTTTTTTTTTGGCAAACCTCTATGGTACGAGGGAATTTTATTGGTTAAAAATTAAAATATATACAGTTAGAGAGGACATATGTAATTTACCTCTCGATGCAATCTAATTATAATAATTAAGGAATTAAAAAAATTCTAATGCATGATAATTACATGGAAATAAAATAATAGATAATTCTAAAATTCAGAACTTCCTAAAATATTATATATATATATAACAAAACCTTCTAAAAAAATCTAAAAGTAATGATTTGTAACTTTAAAAGTTGTAATCTTTCTTAAATTCTTTTTTACTATTTTTTTCCTCTACTCTCACCACCTATTTCCAACTTTTTTTCTCTCCCTCAAACTTTCATTGTCTTGCTCTGGTTCTTTCTCCTTATCTCTAACTCTCTTATTGTCTCTTTAAAATTTCATTCAATTCATTCATTTATAAGATCTTGACTTCATAATTACACTCAATTTTTTTATCTAATCCCGCCCAATCCCAAAAGCACTAAAATATTGAAAATAAATCATACCACAACTCTCTATAAAACGTCTAATGATAGTTAAAAAAAAATTATTATCTTCTTAAAATAAAAATGAGGTCTCATGTAAAATTTTCGCTTTAGGCCTCAAATTGGTTTGGGCCGCCCTTGCTTGACACAATGTAATATAAAAATAATGAGTTGGTTGCCCCCAACATTGCTTGTCACACTGTAACAAACACTATATCACTGTGTAACAAATCTATTGAAACGTTTATGAAATAACACTTGTTACAATATCTAAATAAAATTTCTTGAATTGAACGATGAAAATCACGGTTATAATAGATGATGATATTGTTGACTGATGAAAAAATCGATAATGGCTTAGATAGAAAACTAGACGTTGAATATGAAGAAGATGAAGATGTACGTTCAAAATTTAAATGTCCTCGTCCTTTAAAATAGAAATATGTTGATATAATAAAATAAAATCTCACAAATAAAGGTAACTGCCTAAAAACATTGTCCTTGAATTATGAGAAATGGTATTTAGGCAAAAGAAATTTTTAAAACACAGCCAATGTGTATGTAGATAGAAGATGTTTACAATTAAGAGTACTTATCTACAATAGAGATTTCACATATGTTCTATTTGTTTATCGATTAAGTGCGAAAAAGTGCAAGAAAAGGGAAAAAAAAAGTAACTTTCCATGCGTATGATTAGATTGAAAATACAATTTCTCGAGAAAATTTTTTTTTCTGCAACACCC